AAAAGCAGTACATCAAATGGCATGTGGACTTTTGACATAAAATTTCTCACAAACACAGTATATAGGTGAAATTAAACAAGGGTTACAGGGAATTCCTTGCTGTCAGCTGACTTAGTTCGAAGGCTTCCCATTTGAAGTGCTAGTTGATGATGGGGTTTCAGCTGAAGGACCCACTTCTTTGCTGATTAGTTCATGGAAAGTAGCTGGGTCGAGATAAGATTGGTAGGGAGGCAACCTATGTGACAAACAGAGTTAAAAGGAAAAAAGATTTCACGGAACAGATCACATCACGAGTACCAAGGGGTGTCCTTGGTAATTTTGCAAGATGGTTGAGTTTTAGGGATAATTGAAGGCCTAATCTATCGGTAATTTGACTTCAGTAGAAAAGGTATTAGAGAGTGTTTGGAGAAATTTGTACCTGCTAGCAGTAATAGTATGTCCGTCTATATTCATCTTCACGTCGAATATATTGCCTGCATGAATACCAAATAAAAAATTAAGTATGACCAAAAATGTTATCTATTTCAATTAGTGACTGGAAAAACTAGTCTCTTTTGCTTCTTTCTATGGTTTTATTGGGACACTACAAAAAAGAAGGAAAGTTCAAAACCGTGTTTACAAGATAGATGGGCTTTCATCTGAATCAAATGTGCGACCCAAAAATGAAATATGCCAATTACAGAAATAAAATTGGTCTTCAATTTCATTTTTTGCCTACAGCGACTCAATTATTGTGCTTACTGAGTTAGCTACCTGGAATGATTTTGTAGCTACAAAACTGAAAGGCGTTTGAGAATAAGAGATGACCCAAGCCAACGATTATTTTGAGGGTAAGTTGAAATAGGATAAGGAAATTACCATGAAAATAATAATGAAAGCACACAGGAAGCTAATGATAAAGGCCACTTTCACGAAGAAACTTACAAGAACAAGGCTCTTGAAACAGATACATTTTGTACTGCAAACAGGATAAACTAGTGCAGGAAAGAATCCAATGTGAAACTTACACAGCCAAGAACATATGTACCTCCAGAAATAGTCTTGTCCGAGAAATACTTTGACATCAGATATTGTCTAAATTCAGCCTCATACCTTTTGAATTTCTCAACATGTTCTTTGCTATCTATAAAGCTGTACAAACATACCATTAAAAAATGATAATAAAAAATAACGTCTCGAATGAAATAAATATTCAGATGCATAAGAAAACCAGGAGAAAATAAATTAAACAGGTTAAAACCTAATGTAGATATAATTTTATACTGAAAAACATATAAAGAGAGAGCTTCGAATGAGATAAATTCATCACACTCTTCTACCATTTTGAAGCACACTAATTTCTTTCTGACTTACAAATTAAAACCCCATCGATATTCACCATTGTACGATATGAACAATTAACAACAAAATCCTTTCCTTTTCTTTTTTGATACCCTCACCAAGCACAAAAGGAAAGAATAAAGATGGGTGATATGATCCAAGAACCAGAAGATCCAAGACCAAAACTATATGTACCATAAATATAAAAAGCATCGAGATCAAAGGATCCAGAGCCAATCATCCTTGATGATGATGCCTTTAAGGAAAGCAGCAGCAAAGATTGAACACTCCCCAGAAACAGAGTAAATATTATATATTTATATATTAGCAAAAATCGAACAGGCAGACAGATACAGAAACTTCAATAAACAGCACACCTAGTAGATTGATTAAAAACTGAGATCTGTGCTTCTGCAGCTGGTAGACGGAGGTGAGTACATTAGGTGGCAAAAGAGGAAACTCTGAATCCATTGACACTTGGACTTCACTACGGAAGAGCACGTGTCGCATTTTTTTTTCCTGCGTAAGTACAAAATTGCCTTCATTTGGTAAAACCGTAGCCGTTGGATGCGATGGTTTCAATTACTGAAGAGCATTGTACCAAAGATTGGCCTAGGCAGCCACGTAGGCATTAGGCATCGCCCAACCGCCTCCGATTTGCATGAATCGGCTGAAAAAATCAGCCATGCAGTTAGGAGGCGCCTAGGAGGGCTCGGCGGCCAGACGGCTGCGGGCCTTGGCCCTCCTAGGCGGGCTCGGCGAAAATTTTCTATTTTTTTTTTAAATACTAATTACATTATTTTGTTATCTTGTTTTCTTTATAATATATTAATTAATATTATTATTTGGATTTAGGGGTGTGAATTTATAATAAGTTGAGATAGTTTTATTTAGCAGGTAGTGAAATAAATAAAAATAAGGTATTTAATCTTAATTTCTAGGCGCTAGGCATTGGTCGGGGGCCTAGCGACTTCTAAAACACTACTAAAGAATCAGGTTATAACCATCACTCCTCTGCTGACATCATTTTCACCACCACGACCATCTGAGAGTAGAGATCATAAGATTGACTGCAGTTAATATATGCCCCATTAGAAATGATTGAGAGAGAGAGACTAAGAAGTTCTCTTTATATGATGTAGGTTTATATGATAAATAGTTTTTGTTCTGCTATTTAACAATCCCCGCGTGAGTTATGGTTGTGCAAGATAAAACTAAAATAACAAAAAGTTAAATTAATATACTAAATATAGTAACTCATTACTATTATAACAATAATAGTCATATTAAAACCAGCTAACATCTGAAAATATAAATAACTCTTCTAATCTGGATCTCGGTTCTAGTTTGTTTAAGATATTATTGTCTTCAAGAATTTTATGTTAAGTAATGATTAGGCATTAATGAAGTTCAGAACTGGTCTAAGTGCAATAACAAGCATTATAGAAAGATAAACTCATGTTTATTTCTGAAATTTCAAATGACAATTTTTAATATATAGAATAATTTATAGAAGAGATTGACTTAACCAACATTTGTGTAGTTTTCATTGTGTATAACCATCCCCAATCCACATTCGAGGAAAAGACTAAAGCTTAAAAAATGAGTGTACTTGAGTTCTACAGTCCTTTTTGGTGGCATTCAATGTCAGGACAACTGAGTTTGGCATGGGATTGGCATTTCCATCTTTACATCATATTATTCAAAATCCAGCCAGGACACAGATTTTGGCATGGGATTGGCATGCATAACTGAATAATAGATACATGAAAGAATTCTGCTAGTCTTCCCCATTATATCTTTCTGACCAACTTGTCTTGATCTCTAACAGATATGTTATTGAGATTCTCAATAACATATAATTAACACGAGAAGAAAAAAAAGAAGGAACCACCAAAGATAGCCACGTCTGAAAATTTTCTTGTCCAGCAAAACATCAAGAATGCATATAAACAGTACTAGTCAATCAATATCTTTTTTCATATAAATCATCAAGAAGTCAAGTAACGAGGATCACATCAGTACTCATATACTTCCTGTCCAAGAATTTTTTGGTAGAAAAGGTGCTAAGGATGGAGAACGTACATTCACACGAACATCATCCCAAGTTGTTGATTTTATATCTGGTTTTCGTTAATAGTATGGTAACACTGGCAACTAGTACCGTAGGAGTAAACTGGGGGACAGTGGCCACACACCTTCTGCCTGCCCAAAATGTGGTCAATATGCTGACAGACAATGGTTTTGATAAGGTGAAGTTGTTTGATGCGGACAGGAGCATATTAGAAGCGTTGTGTGGGACCAACATTCAAGTCATGGTTGCGGTACCCAATTACATGCTGGAGGAGATGAGCCTCGACCCAGGTGCTGCTACATCATGGGTGGAAGATAATATTACAGCTTATGCTTATCCTGGAGGTGTTAATATCAGGTTTGTTTATTAAAAATAAATAAAAAAAGGGGTCTTTTATTTCAATTTTTTAAACTTGGGGATCTATTCTTCAAGTTTTGAATTTTCCATTGTCTTAACATTTACTCCTTCAGTGAATACTTTACTTTTCCACAAAATTGAATTAAAAGCTGCTGTGTGGAAAATAACACTTACGAATTTTTCCTGATTTACCGTTCAAGTTTATAGTTGTCACTATCTATAGATTCTATAAGGCACAAAAATCTTTTAACTTTAAGAAAGGAGTATCAGTTCAGAGAGTTTCAGGGAAAATCTTTTTCAGGTATGTAGCTGTGGGGAACGAACCCTTTCTCAAAACCTACAACGGCACCTACTTGAAACAAACGCTGCCAGCACTGAGAAACATTCAGGAAAGCATCAACAGGGCCGGGCTCGGTTCACAAATCAAAGCAACGGTACCCTTCAATGCCGACATCTACAACTCCCCCGACTCTAACCCTGTTCCCTCTGCAGGGGACTTCAGACTCGAAATACGCGATCTCGCAGTCCAAATCATCCAATATCTCTACTCGAATGGCGCTCCCTTTGTGGTCAACATCTACCCCTTCCTCAGCCTCTACGGGAACCCATACTTCCCACTAGACTATGCCTTTTTTGACGGAACCAACCAGCCCTTAAGGGATGGCAGTTACGTCTACACAAACGTGTTTGACGCGAATTTCGACACTCTTGTCTGGTCCCTCGCCAAAGCGGGATACCCGGACATGAAGATCATAGTTGGTGAGGTCGGGTGGCCAACGGATGGAAACAAGCACGCGAACATTCAGAACGCAAAGAGATTCAATGAGGGGCTTATCCGGCATGTTGTGAGCGGAAAAGGGACTCCAGCTAGGGAAGGGAAAATGGATGTTTATCTATTTAGCCTAATAGATGAGGATTCCAAAAGCATCGAGCCCGGTAGCTTCGAAAGGCACTGGGGCGTGTTCGAGTTTGACGGGATGCCCAAGTACGAGCTGGATTTGTCGGGCATGAGGAAAAACGAGGGTTTGATAGCTGTGCAGGGTGTGAAGTATATGGCAAGGAGGTGGTGTGTTCTGAACAGTAGAGTGAAGGACACGAATAAGGAGCTCCCGGGGAATGTGGATTATGCATGCAGCTTGTCCGACTGCACGGCTTTAGGGTACGGCTCGTCGTGTAACCACTTGAGTGCGGAGGGGAATGCGTCGTATGCTTTCAACATGTACTATCAGCTGAAGGACCAGCATGCGTGGGATTGCAGCTTCTCAGGGTTGTCTACAATCACGGACGAGGACCCTTCGGATGATAGGTGCCGATTCCCAGTGATGATTGCTTGCAGTCATTCTATGTTGATGAAGAAAAAAATGGTGAATATTTTGGTTGTTGTTCTTCAGGGTTGTATGGTGTTCCTGTTTCTTGAGTCTGATGTTTGAGTGGCCAAGGATTTCGTAACCATGTATGCTTTAAGGTAATTACATTTATGTTGCTTATGTATTGGGAGAACTAGAAGATGTGATTTTAATTTGTGTCCTTTATGGCAGTTTTACATTTCTTTTTATTCTTGTCACATTGAAATTGTCAGACGTACCAAATACAATCATTCAGCATTATGAAATTACTGTAAGCCTTCATACTATACAAGAAATAGCTAAAACGAATTTCTGAACGTATAGCATTTAGGCTCTATTTATTCCAAGATAAATATAATAGACAAAATGGAAACAGAGATTCTGCCAGACTAGGGAACCTTTATGGAGCAACAAAGAGCTCAGTTGATAAGATTTAAACAAGTAAAAGATACAAGCAAACATACATTTCTGTATGCAGTAGGGTCCTAAAATGCAACACCTACGTTGCAGGAATCAAACTGATTTGCAAGCAAGAAACAGAAGGGGCGCATAATTATTTCCCAACAATGAGCCCGAAACTATCCTCAACATTAATACCACAAAGGAATAGAAATGATGAGCTAATTGAATTCATTTTCTGTGACAGTAATTTATGGATGCACACCCTATGCACGTAGAGTAAGCAAATAATTCTCGTGCATGTCTGTGGACAAAAATGACGTGTGAGCGCTGGCACGTGTGCAGATATACGAGTATAAGGTAGGTATCTGAAAATATGGTAGGTAGATATAAGACTATGTTCAATATATATGCTAAATGCTGATAATTATAAACAATAATAACAATTTAGTCAGCCGATAAGCTGTACTTAGAAGTTGAGACAATTTTTTATAGTTCACTAATTACCAAACACCATGATATGTCGCGTGCTCCATAAACAAACAATATCTACTAAGTTAACGTATATAACTGAACACCTTGAACCATTATTTTTGACTGAAACAAACAATATATGAAGTTAACATATGTCAAAATCTTGTACTACATCCACTAAATGGGTCCATTCAAGTACTGGTGGGCACATTTCATCAATACTAGATTCGCATAAGTATACAAACCTCACAAGAAGTCGAGAACTAACTACGATCCCCATTTCATCATTTAATCATGTGCACGATCATTTATTAAGTCCATAAAATTCTTTATTGTTGTTATAGCTATTACGCCAGATACTAATCTACCTAAGAGAAAATAAATAGGACAAATCATCATTTATTTCGACTTAAAAATTTATAGCAATGTCTGTAGCTTTCAATCAAAAAACTTGATATCTCAGAAACCACAAACAGTCCCACAATACTATGAGCAACTGAAATCCTTTCTAAGGGTCCAATGAAACCAAACGTAAGGCATTATATCAAAAAATATCAATGTAGCACTGAGAAAAATATGTTGCAATAAAGAGAAATTATTATATTGAAGTAACTCACTCAATTGGTTCAAGATCATCATCCTGTGGTTCTCTTTTCACCTCCATACAGCCCTCCAATGGCTCTGCCTCCGTGGAGTCTAATGTCGTCTCCGTTTTTACCTCCTTAATCCCGCTAATCTCGCTGCAAGCATCCTTAAGAGTATAAATTCATGATACAAGGTCAGATATTTTGAATTCAATTTTCAGTGATAGCATTCACCACATGTAGTTCAAAAACAAAAACATGTGCGCGTGCGTGTATGTCTTACTTTCTGTTTTAGAAGATAAAGAGTGTACCATACCTGTGGTTGTTCTTGTTTGACCACCAAAGGTTGATTGGCGGACGGAGAATTCGACGGTAAAGCCTCGGTGGCCATTGGACTGTTTGAATAATGTTTTGGGTGGTGTACAGTACAGTACAGCCTTGTTATGACTTCATCATCTCAAACCCTAACTTTAGATGAATCTCTTCTGTTCTGCTATGTTTCTTATGCTGTGATAAATATGAAATTATGTCAGAGATCTCTCGTATGTTGGTTGAGTTGCTGATTGTCTTGTTATATTGCATTGCACTCCTAAAAAAGAATGTGGTGCCAGTAAGGAAAATTTGAGAGCATATTTATTTATTAATTAATTATTATGGTTCAAATTAAAATTTTGCAAGGTCTTATTAAGGGTATTTTGTAGAAAAATCCAGAATCATTTTCCTCATCAGTTCTATACTTCTATCGGTCTACTCACTAGTCAAATAATAATGCTAAAATAAGTGATGTTCTCTAAAGTTAAAAATACTATTTTGTCCTCATACCTATAAGCTGAAGAATGAGTTTGTTTTCGTTTATAGAAGTACCTATTTCTTGCAACTTAAGTTATAAAATCTTGTGCATTACATGACTTCCTTCTGTTTAGTACCTGAAATTATCCTGAAAGTACCACTCCGCATAAAAATGGTATCAAAGGCCATATTTTATTAAGAACTCTTGGATGAATTTATTACTTGATAATTAAATTTTGGCAGGGAGAAATATTGAAAAAAAATGGCTAGTGAAAATTGTTCAAAATGTGTACATTATAACATATATCTTCAAAATTTGAAGATGTACAAACAAGAACAACAAGAGCACGTTACACGTTATTAAATCGTGAGGAGAGAGCTCATCAAAATCATAGTTAGGTATGTGTTATAATATGACAAACTAGAAAGAAATTATTCCAGACTCTTCTAAGTTCTCCAATTATATTTGTGAAGTACAAAAGGTACAAAGTTGTGGTGAAAATCAAGTGCTAGCACCAAATAAAGTTTAGCGGAAGATAACAAAAACAAAAGAGTTAATAAAGAGTCAAAAGGATACAAGAGAGATCTTTGTTGACATTCAAAAACGAGTTAAAACCATAGAAGATAAGTCCAGTTGTTCTGGAGAACGAAGAAATGTAACATTTGGGACGTTCTTTTGTTACATAAAAAAGGGAAACCTACCGAGGATCAAAAGAAAATGACGGAGGACGAAAAACTAAGTGTCACTATCAAACAAAAACCCATTAAGTAATGAAAAAGATAAATCTCAAAGATTTACATGACCTAGTTGAATCCTTTGCAGTAGTATTAGGTTTAGTAGATTTAAAAATGATCACGAAAGATAAGTCGACAGTTATCACTAGAGACAACCAAGCTCAGCCTCCACCTCTTTCCTTATATTCAAGAGAAGAAAGTTCTAGTTTACACCAACTAGGTCAAGACAAAATAATGCCTCATACAGGGGATTTATTCGTTAATTAAAAAAATGAGCATTTTGCAGGTACTAAAATGTGTTCACGTATGTCAAACCTTCAAAATACTCCTTATGAAAAATCCCAACTAGACCACATTCACCTTATGGGTTAATGATAAACCTAGATATCCCAGACTTTAAAAATTGAGAAGTCCTTATTGATGGTTGGGGCTCTGCCATGAGGATAGCTAGAGGAATGTTGGATCTAGAAAAGGAAGAGTACATTTTATCGATAGTTGGGGCTTCTCCATGGGACATGACCTCTCAAGTGTTGGGGTTCGGTGAAGAACGTCGAGATCGCACAAGTTCGTAATTACTACGAATTAATCCTAAGCGTAGCGGACCTAGAGATTAGAATTGAACATTTACAGTTTGAAAATTCGTAGACTCTGCACAGACTTACACGGCCAAAGGTGTCGGACAAATGGTTCTAACTTTACGTTCACCTTTCTTGTCTGCCTAAGCTGTTGATCATCTCGTCGTTGCTCTTCGCCAACCGCCGGTTTGTGTGCTGCCGGGGACGGTGTCTCACCGCGTGCGTGCTACCAGTGCGCGTCGCATGCCGCATGCGGCGTCGCCATCGTGCGTCGCTGGTCGTCTGGCCGCGTGCGGTGGTCGCTGGGGAGCGTTGCTTCTCGCGTGCGTACATGCGTGTGCGTGTGAGTTTCCTCGGATGACCTCGGGATCTTCTATTGTATTCCCAACATCACGTCATTCGTCTTGGTGGATGACGAGCTTTGAAATTTTTCGATTGTAGTTCTCAATTCTCTCAACTCACGTGTATGCATCTGATTTCTTATAAAAGAGGGCATCTGAAACACATCATGGAAAGGTGTATTTATAGGCAATGACATGGACCCAAAGGAGGTGCTAAATAAGAGCTCCTCAAGTGTGAATAAGATTCTAAGGCTTTAGTCCACTTACACCTTGCACATTTTAATAATACTTTATTCCACTAAAAAAGTATTATTGAACTTTCTATTTAGCCCCCTAATTATACTTGTCACTTGAGGCTCCAGGTTAATCTACTTAACTTATCTCCTCATTTTTTAGATATAATGTTCATTAATTAATTTAATTACTGACAACTAGTGTGTAGCCCGTGCGATGCACGAGTAAATAATATTAAATAATAATTATAAATTAACGATGGCAGTATCCAATATTAACTAATAATTATAAATTAAATATGAGGGTAAACAATATTAACTAATAATTGTAATTAAGATATGGAGTTAATATGTGACATAATTTATTGTATATTAGTTGTAAACAATAAAAAAGTTATCTTGTATAAAATAATATAAAAAATGTATGTTTAAAATATTAAAAAAACCTAAAATATTATATAACGTATGTAAAGTATCTAAAATTTTATATATCATTATTGAAGATGTAAAGTCACCTAAAATCTTTCTAAACTATTTTATAAATAAAACATGTCTAAAATTATTTAAAAAAATCTTGCCAAAAATATATTATTCAATTTCCAGAAGATGATGATAAGTATAAGTTTGAATTTTTGAATCCACGTGAGTATTATTTTTTAGATCCGTGTACTATACAAATTATTCATTATGTTAATTTCCTGTGAACTTCATATTGATTTATTGATTTTATTTTATTTCTATACAAAGTTGATCGTCTCATTTTGTTTTACCATATTTTTGTGGAGATTTAACAAAGTCGATTGCATTTATAAAATGATTTGGATATCAACATACAATTTGTAATGGAGTTTTCAAAATTGTGTACTATTAACAAATAATATATTATCATTAAAAATTTTTTTTAAATGCGCAATTATTGAGACTGATAATTTGATAATTATTTTACCTTTTGAAACTGAGTATAGTAAAAACAATAGATTGGTAAACAAAGAAGTGATAAACATTACCAAGTTTATTATCACACGTTCCAAATAAAAAAAATTGTGATGATTAGTGGAAAATGATATTTAACGAATAGCATTCAATATTTTTTTTTTAAGGCATAAATATAAAGACCGATATTCTAAAATTTTGGAGCAGAAGGTTGTTGTCCGGAGTTTCTATCCTTCGTTGGCTTATTCGGCTTTGATTGGTATTGATTTTTTCTTAGTGACTGGATCAAAGCGGAGTCCAACCAATCTACGCGTAGAATAAAGCATCATTCTTTCGTCTTCTTTCTCAGAATTGTTGAGCATTTCATTCAAACTAAACTGATTGACATTTTTTATTACCTTTTGAATTGAGATTTTATAAATATAGAGACTGAGATGTTAATGTTCTTCATTGTTTCTATGAAAAAATAAAATAAAAATGAAAAATGCACATTTAATTGATCTTAGCTAGAATTTTTAAATAATAAAATAAATTAAAGCCAAAAAATTAATGCAACATTAAATGTTGTATGATTTTTTAAAGATAAAAATAAAAATAAAAATAAAAATAAACTTACTATTTATAGGTTGAATTAAATTCTCTCCTATTTTTTTGCTACTATTTTTGTTAAATGGTAATTCTTATTATATATGTATAGATAGATATAATTAATTGACTCTTTGATCCTAAACTAGCACTACTCAATTCTTTATTATTATGCTAGAATTAAGTCTGCTTGCAGTGTTTGATATAATAATTCTTGTGAGCTCATTTCGGAGACATCATAAAACTGGTGCACCGGCACACAATGATCGTAAATAATGGAACAACACACCATACAAACAACATTATTTCCCAACTCACCTAGACTGTTCATCTAGCAGAATGAATCTCACATTTTAGTGAATAAAAGAAATAGTTATTGAGTGCACATGCCCGTCATTATCTTACGGCTTAAGAATACTCAGTAATTATCGAGGTCTAATTTATTTACTTGGTCAGTATAAAATAAACTTATCCTCCGTGAGCCCGTTCAATACGCTCTAAGTGTGCTAGTGTAATTAATCAGTCAAGGCCAAGCGGTCCAAATTATACTACAACCATTCGTGATGGTTCGTTCAATTCTACCTAGGTTGTGAACTAATTATGTATATTTTACAAGTAACTGATAATATGAACTTTTGTTCATTGTGATGAACAATATTTATCTAAATGTAAAACATCAGAACGTGGAAGCGTTTAACTGAACATTACTCTCATTTAAACGAAAATAGTGCTCATATTTAAAAGTCAAGCTTCTAATATACACACTAACAATCTCCACTTATACTTAAAGTTTTTGCTTTTTATAGTATACATTTTTCAATCTTATTCTCAAATGCTTATGTCGATCCTATCGCCAAACATCTAACTCACATTCCCTCCATGTGTCTGTCGAAGACGTTCGTCGGCAGACTCTTCGTGAAAGGATCCACTAGGTTGTCCTCTGATGCTACATTGGCAACCACGACTTCTCATTTTCCTACGATCTCTCGTATCAGGTGATACTTGCGCTATGTGTTTACTCGTCTTATGGGCTTGTGGCTCCTTCGAGTTTGCTACTGCACCGCTGTTATCACAATAAACTGTAATACCCTTGGACAAACTCGGTATCACATCCTAGTCCAACAAGAAGTCCACAGCCAAACAACTTTTTTGATGCTTCAAAAGCTACAACATACTTGACTTCCATGATAGAAGACAAGGTTAAATGTTTAATTCTTAAAGCAAAGAATACACAAACAACTTAATTAACATATTATAAGTTAAAATATCACTTTTCAACCTAAAATCTTTCAACTTAATTAATAGTTTAACTTATAATATATCAACTAAACCCAAATCCAATATTTTACCGGCAAATCTTTCAACTTAATTAATAGTTTAACTTATAATATATCAACTAAGCCCAAATCCAATATTTTACCGGCTTAAAACGCCGAGTCCTTGAACCGGCACGTATATATATACCAAGGCTGGTTCCAGTTCACATAAAATGCAAACTTGAACTGATCCATGGCCACCTCCAAATGAGTAATCATAT